CCCCTCTTCACGCTCAAGTTGGGCCTGAAAATCTTCATCCTCTTCCTCATGAGAAGATGCATAATAATTAAACCAAAAAATGAGATGATGCATAATACAGTCTCCTATCTCCTCAACCAGCCTCTGTCTTTGTGTCTTCCTTCAAGCACATTGTCCCACATCACGGCAAGATGATGTTTTAAGCAATTTATATTGTCTCACCTCTCCTTCCCACAATTAGTCCCCTTCACCCTCCCCTTATCCACATGGCCACATCCAGCCTCAACCCAAATTGATTAGCTAGATCCTCGACCCCCTTGAGTCGAGATCTCCTAAGCCTACAAAACCCAGCATGCGAGAGGCAAGCCAACCAAAATATTTTATATACATAATTTACGAAAAAATGACACTACTAAATTTTTCAAGAGCAAATATTACTTTCAAAAAAATCTAAGCCAACTAGAGACAGTAAAAACCATCGAAAAATACTCCATTACCAACATCAAGTTATTAAAAGAAAAAAGCAACGTTAAGTTTTTTTTTTTTTTGACACTAAACAGCATGAAGTTATTATTGAAAAAAAGACTAATGTGATCTTGCCGGGCGATTACTTTTTTATTTTTTTCTTTTTTTACCCCTTTTCTTTTCATTTGGCAAAGATCACTTACAAGTAGTCTTATTACAATAACTCTTGCTTCAAAGAAAATAAAACTAACAAATCCAAGATTTTAAAAACCTTGATGCCATTAAACCAATTTTCTTTAAACAAAGAAAATATCCACAATTCTTATACTTGGGAATATAAAGACAATATAATTAAATATGACAAGAAACAAAAAGAGAGTGCTGGAGATTACCTCAACTGGGCTTAGTACACCCCACACCGAGTCTCCTCCTTCCGATGGTGCTCAGGTTCTATAATTGGTCTCTTGATTCTCCTAGATATGGCAAAACCCTCTCAATGACATATGGATCTCAATCTAAAATCAACTACCTAAGGACTCTAGGCCTTAGTCTTGCTCAAGCTCCTTTGACTTGATCTTTGGAGAGATGAGAGATAGATCAAAGAGAGAGAGAGATCTACTAGCAAAGGGATCCTCCCCTTTGCTATCCAAAACATCAAACCACTACAAGCTACCATTAGCTTGGGCGTGCCACCTAGAAACGAGAGAGAGGTGACTTGGGCGTGTCTTTTTGGCTTGAGAAAGATTTTGGTTCGGGTGTGCCCTCTTTAGAAAAACTTGGGAGAGATCTTGAAGCCCTAGGTGGGGCATGCCACCTATAGAGTGATCTTTGAGAGAGACAGATAAACCCTTAGAGAGAGAAGAGAAAATGGGTGTAGAGATTTTATGAGGTGGGAAAGCCTTTTTTTATAGATTTTCTATGCCTTGAAGTTTGGTAGGATCAAATCTTAACCGTCAATCTAAGGAGACTTGTGGGGTGAGAGATTTGAGTCATCCATCTCTTTGATCCACCATCAAGATTCAAAGAGATGAGCAAAAGCCTTATCCTCCCTTTCCTAGATCTATTCCCATCAAATCTTTAAATAAAAAAAAGTATATATCTTACTTTCTATGTTAGTATATTCAATCCTTATTTCTTGGTTCAAGTAATCTTGATTCAAAGATTTACTAAATATTTCAAATATTCAACCTTATCATGTAAGTTAGCTATTCTCAAAGATAAGCCAACAAACAAGGGGATAACTATCACCCAATCTTGGAGAACAAGTTAGTCCCTATTGGCGGGGCGTGCCACCCTTTGGTGGCCACAGATGGGCCCCACCCAATCCCACATGTTCTAAATTGGGCCTTCATATTTATGGAGGGTCCCATATAATTTTAGAAAATATTTTATTTTATATTTTGAATTTTTAAATCTTATATTTTATTTAAAACATTGGAAAATTAAGTTCTCTTAATTTATAAATCCAAATGACAAAAATAAAATATTAGAAGATTCACAAAAACTCAAATAAACATTCTAAAAATTCATATATCATAAAATTAATTAAAACTAATTAATTTTGATGAGAATCGAATCCATTAGATCTAATAATTTATCAATATATGGGAGCACTCCACCTTCAACTGCAGATCACGATCTACTAGCAGTTCCCATGACTCACAGTCCACTGTAGGGGCTCATGATTGGACCACCAAAGTCGGCCAATAAAATAGGGGATGCAATCCCAGTTTATGGATTTCTGGTTCTCCCCTAGAGACAAAAAAATCATGGTCCTCCATAGTCCAGACTATGATGCAACCATGACTCTATGGTACATAAAGGTAATCTCTCGCACATGTATACGCTTCATCCTCATTGGTGAATCTCAAAACGACTATCTATGTACATGCCGTGTGATGACATAACGATGAGGTTTTAGCCCTGTCTCTAAAGGCTATTCATCACACACAAGGGCCACACAGTCCCTCGGCTCTCATTTAGGCATACTCCGACCTCATCAAGGGTTAACCCAGTAAACCATTCTCGGTAGATCCCTATGCCTAGGTATCTTGGGTTTTTTCAAACTCGGCTGGCCTAACACGTCGAGCTTAGTCTAAGTATCGGCAAATTGCATTTGCCTAGTATGGTCCACAAGAAGACCACACTCCCACTAAGTTTATGTTTCACTACATAAAATGCTCATACAAGCTCTCATAAGGCCTTTAAAGGCTACATAAACCCAACAATTACATCCATAGAAACATAATTTTTATGCCTTAAATCTAGGAAAAAAATGATTCATAGAATATTTTGAGAGGAATACGATTTTGGAAACAGTCCAAGCATGCTAGAGGCGAAAAAAAAAAAAAAAATCTAACAGCCATCATCATAAAAACCTTAACATTGTTAAAGCACAAAAACAATCTCCTAGTATATATATGAAAATGAGGAATAAAAATTGAATCTTACTGATTTTTTGAATAGAATACAACAAAAATACAATATTAACTCAGATATAACTAAATCTAGTGATATTAGTCCAAGAAGTTCCATTTATATCAATTTTAATTGAAAAAATGAATGACGGTTTCACTTACCCAAATTTTTTAGGCCGATCCTCCAATTTTTGCACTCAATGGAAATTAATGCCTCTAATTTAATTAATCCAAATTCTTGAAACTTTCATCCAAATAATGTTTCGTAATAACAAAAATACAATATTAATTTAGATATAACTAAATCTAGTGAAATTAGCCCAAGAAGTTCCATTTATATCAATTTTAATTGAAAAAGTGAATGACAGTTTCACTTACCCAAATTTTTGAGGCCGATCCTCCAATTTTGCACTCAATGGAAATTAATGCCTGTAATTTAGTTAATCCAAGTACTTGAAACTCTCATCCAAATAATGTTTCTAATAAAAATAAAAAAAATCGGAGACTTTGAGTGGCAAACTTCCTTTCTCTGACCACACAGATTTCGCTTCGGCTTTGGAAACCCCCCTTCTATTAAATTAAATAAGATGAAAGGAACTACTCAAAATGAATCACATTGTATTATAGACCATCATTAAAGAGGAATCCTTCTTTCTCTATGATTTTACTCAACAGAGTTTCAATAGATTTGGGCAATTCAGGGCTTGATGAACCTACTAAGCAAACTATCCAGACAAGACAAACGAGCCAAGTGCTTATTCATGTACAGCTGGGCCAAGGGCTTTGATTTTTAAGATTTTTTAATTGAGAATAAGCCTAGATCCAATATAGAACTCAAAAATAGGCTCAGGTAACTAAGAAAATGCAAGATTGAGCTAGTCTTGCGAAGCAAATGCAAGTTGTTGAACTTCAGCCAAACCTTCGTTCGAAAAACACAATCTCACAAATCTGAGGAATTTGAAGTTTTTCGTTCAAATCTAATCTTTCTAGTAGCTAGAGGATGCAAAAGCAACAGTACAACCCACATTTTAGACCAAATTGATGCTTGGTTGAGCAGAAAATAAAACAGGGGGTTTGGTTTTCTGTCCCCCATTATATCTGAATTTTTTGTCAGACTAAGCAAGTTCTGATAGACTCACGAGTCTATCAGGAGCTCAACAAGTTTTTGACAAGTTGGCTGAGTTACTATTGTAACTTGGGTAAGCAAGGAGTGAAGTTCCAGACTTGGCAGGCTGCCAAGCCCTAGTGACTCAGGCACGTCCGAGTTGAACTCACTTTGTTTTCCAAAACTGTTCAAAACCATATACACATAAGGACTAAAGAGAGTGTTTCTGTAAAAACCGTTCTTATAAAATATTTTGAGCAATTGCAACAAGTGCCTTTTTCCTATGTCGCAGCTGGAAACCATAACACCCCCTTCTTCATGATAAATACCTAGTAAATATCACTCTTCTCGACATTTTGGAAGCAACTTAAAATATTGGAAGGGGCCTCCTTCCAAGAGAGGCAGGGCCGCTTGTGCCAGCCAATCCTCATACAAGTCCCCTCTTCTCTCATCCCTTTCATGTTTTTAGTCTCATCGCTTTGATTTGTCTGCATATGATCTTAACATGAACTCATTGTAGACAAAGGTGTAACAAACATTATAAAAAGTGAAGCTCACAAAACAATCAAGAAGACCTTCTTCTTTCCAACTATATACAACATGAATATTTCACACATATGAACTTAAGCTACTCGAATATTTCACTGCATAACTATAGTTCACACAAGATCTAGCATGAATATATCATCAAATCATACTTCAAGGTTTGCATAGCACAACAAGATAAACTGAGACAATAAAATGATTGGCCTTTCGATATTGACTCCCAGCAGTCTGTTAACATAAGCCACCTATCTAATATTCATTTTACGATGAAATCCTTAGCTAATAAATTGAATTCTATTAATTTCAGCATCATTCTTGGTGAACCTCGATGGTATTAATGGATAAAATTCATAGATAAAAACCATACATGACTACGAAGCTGTTTTAGCTAATAAATTCAATTCTCTTACTTTCAGTATCATTCTTTTTGAACCCAGATGGTATTAAGGGATAACATCCACAGAGAAAAAACATACACAACTACAAACCTGTGTGTCTTTGCAAACCGTTGGATCAGAAAACCAAGTCTCATCAACAACAACATCCGGAGATCGAGGATTTTTATTGTAAACCACAGCTGCCATGGAGGATGTCACAACCACCCTTTTAATAGATGAAAATTTGGAACAGGACCCAAGAACATTAAGAGTTCCCTTCACAGCTGGATCAATTATTTCAGTCTGGTGCATTAAATCAAACAAAAATACATTAAAATACTTAGTAAGTTAGAAAAAGGGAAACTATCAATTACCCATGAGAGATGAACAATTTAACACTTTCCCCTATCTTTTGATTTAATTTCAAAACACCTATGAAAAAGCACATGGTCTGGAGTTGGAATAGTTGCAAATGCGCAAGATGTTAAATACTTCATCTAATGGGTATTTTGATGAATTCCCTAAAGAAAATCATAGCAGCTTGGTAAGCACACAGCAAACAAAAATATAATCCAGTAACATAAGGAAAATTATTTAAATGGTTGTAAAAATACTGCATCATGATTCATATTAGAAGAGACAGATAACATAGCTTACCAGGGACGCAAGCTTGATTTACTGCCTAATTTTATTTTGGATGGCCTATTGCTATCTGGTATCCACGGAAACAACATCTTATATATTCCAATACAACCAATCCATATCCAAATATACTAGAAACCCTAGAGAATAATGCGCACAGTAAATAGTAGTGAGATACTTGTATCATGTCAAGAAGTATCAACATTTGAGAACAATAACTGAAACAATACAAACTAGCTCGTAGAAGTAACGTGCCCATATAAAGATTTGCATGCAATTCCAACCACGATACAACAAACATTCCTATTTCTGGCTTGGAAATGGACAACACTGCTGTACATGCTTAAATCATCTGCCTCAAGAGAACACATGGTGTTCTGCACTTCTATGGAAATGATTGCACATTAGAAAATGTCATTTGCAGGATTAGGTAATTAATCTTTTGCATATCTAACAATATTGTGGGAACCTTAGCCACCAGAAACACCCCATGGATAAAGAATCAGAACAGATGATTTCCATTAGGAATCACAGAAGAATTCGTGAAGAAACATCAGTTTTAGGATAATATATCTATTGCAAGGAAAATTCGAAGCAACATAATTTTATCCAAAACATACCAAAGTTGGTAAGTATCTCATAACAAGACATTTGATGAGTCTAAAGCTCGTTCTTAATGTATGGTAAGTGATAATACTAGTAAACAAATGTAAATAACTTAGAAACAACCTGAGGGTCCTTGACTGAGAAAACAACGGGTGAAGCCACATGAAAAACACCATCACATCCATCCACCGCTGCATCAAAGGATCTGTCTTCCATGTTTTCAGCTTTGAACAATTTGAGCCTTTCATTAGCTCCATCAAGCTCAAATAAGTGTTTGGTCTTCTTTGAGTCATCTGCAGTACCATAACACAAAAACAGTGACTGCAATTCCATAGAATTAGAATGCATGCGTAAAGTCTTCATGCTAATGTCTATCAATAAAGAACAATGCACACAAATAAGAGACTGGACAGAGTCAATAAAGACGAGGGTGGAGATCAGTTCACTGTTGACTCCTGAGATTCTTCTTGTTTTCTCTCAAATGAAAATATTCAATTATTCATAACAAAAACAAGAGGGAAAAGTAATGGGAGAATAAAAAGAAAATTGTTTCATTCGGGGCTGGACCACATTTGTACAATATGCGGTCCCAAGGTATAAAGCACCCATCTTAAAGATGGGCGAAAATAGGTGGTCCATCTAAAAACAATTGAAACTAACGGTCCAAATGTTTTCTTAATAGAATTATTATTTCTAATTTTCAAAATTTATTTATTTATTCATATTCATGCTCTCCATGTTACAGATTACATGTCCTTAAAAATTAGGTCCAAAAATCCATTTCAAAAATAGATTTTTATGAGGTGACTCATTTCTGCATGGACTCAAAGAAACCGTGTCCAGAATAAAATTCCTAAAAGAAAAGGCAAACAATTCATACAGATACCACCAATCATCAAAAAATTTAAACAAATAGATGAATCACTATAAATCAAAAGGTCACATGAACGCAAAAACTAAACCATTAATGCTTCTGAAACAACCTTCATACAGACCAAATCCTAATTTTCTTTTCCTTTCAGATTTATCCCAATAAATTACATAAACATTAGGTGATAAAAGAATTGATCGTGATTTTCTCGATTCAGTAAACCAAAATCAATTCACAGTTCATTTTTTACTTTAAGATCTCTCTCTCTCTCTCACATCATCCAAAGAAAGATATATCCATGGACTAAGAAAAAGAAAGAAGGCATAAAAAGAAAAATGGAAGGGAGAAATGTTTTACTAATATCGCGAACAGTGGCTCGAACAGTGTAACCCCTCTGTAAAAGGAGCTTGACCAGCCATGACCCAATGTAACCTGACGCTCCAGTTACGCACACTACCTTCCCGCTCATCCTCTATCTCTCTCTGCGACTACTCGAACTCAGGGTGCTCAAAAATCTTAATCATAATCTCTCTCTCTCTCTAACTCTCTCTGATTATTGAAACGCAACTGTGTTCAAAATCTCAAAGATAATGTTTCTCCGTTGTATTCTAAATCTTAAACGTGATTTGGTGGTTCTCTAAAACATTAATTAAAATGTTAGCATTAGAAAAAGAAAAATTAGTGGATCTGAAGATTTGCGCTCTAGACTGTCTTACACTAATTGAATAAACTAATAAAGTATGGAAAAAGTTTATATGAGGTTGCAACCTTATGTTGTGGAATTAAACGACCCATCATAAAAAGTTGTTTTGATGTAGAAAAATCCAAATTGATTATCTCGACATCATACATTTCTCAATCCGAGATATAGAGTATCTTGCAACCCATCATTCGAACAGTCTATTTTCAAAAATTTCATGTATTTATAAATCTATTTGATTTGAACCATTTTTTAAAATTCAAAATTTTATAATTAAACATAAAAATAGCCAATTCGGGTCTTTGATGTGGGCCTTACATCTATATTACATATTGATGTGCACCTTACATCTATATTACATATCTTAACCTTACTTTTATATTATAAGATTGAGTTATTATATAATTTTTTAAAAAAAAAACAAAGGAACAACCCCCAAATAAAACTATAAAAATGAAAAAAAATTCAAGAACCGTAGTGAGAGCAAGCTTTCAGATGAAGCTTATACAAACTAAGCACGAAAAATCTAAGACGTTTACCCAAGAGGAGAACCCCTAAAAATCCCATCGCTAGAGAGAATGATCTCCTGGACCAAATCTTATCCAAAGACTAAAAGGGACTGCTGAAGAAATCCAAATATACCCAAAAATATGAATGCGAAAATAGCATTCAACTTAACATTCAAAAAAGAGAAAAAAAAATTAGCTCCTTACCACCAAACATATATATGATGGGTTGAAGATCTGAGTAACCAGAGATAGCTATGCATTGCGTTTTTCAAATTTATTAAACCATGAAGTTTGTTTAAAAGTTAAAAATTAAAACTAACAAGTGATAAACAAAAAAAAAAATATAGCACTCCTAGGAGTTCCTCATTTAGAAATGAAAAAAATGCCCTTCTAATTTTACTCGGTTAGTATTGCTTCCACATGCTGTGGACGCTTAAAAGGTGTACAATGGTTCAGATTGAACTAGGCTCATCCAAGGGTCAATAATGAATTTTATTTTTATTTTATTTAAAAATAATATTAATTTAAATTTTTTATTTTAAATATTTTGATCATTTTTATTTAAAATATTAATTAATTATTTTTATTTAATCATCTTTATAAAAATAAATCTATAGCTCAAAATTCATAATAATATTTTTAAATAAAAAATAAAAGATGAAGAGTAATGATCCGATGAGACCTTCCTACACGCATGTGTAGGACTTCAAAGGATCACCATTAAATTTGGTAGAAATCTCAAGAAAAGTCAAATCCCACATTTGTATGAGAATTTTTTTAGATATCTGTATCAAATTTAATAATGATCTTCTAAAGTTCTACCCAAAATGTGGAAGGGTCTCCTAAGATCACTACTCTAAAATAAATAAATACAACCTTGATAGTGGACGGAATACCGTTCCTTTTTACAACGACCCAAAATGCTCATTAGACAATACTTTGCACACAAATCAATCCCTTTCTATGTTTAATAAAAAACGGTTGGGAGCAGGTGCAAAAAGGTCATGGAACACTTTCGGATCCATTTTTGGGAGGACACTGTTTCTATGCAGCCGGCCGGCATATCGTTGAAATGCAAGCTTAGTAATAAATATATTTTTTAAATATAATTTGATTTTAATTTTTAAAAAATATATAATGAAAAAATATATAATGAGAAGATTTACCTTCGGTAACAAGGTAGTCATAATTAATTTTGACCATTGGATGTAAAATTAGGTGATTGCATTTATTTTATTAATCAAGCTCAAAGTTCAAAAGAAATTTTTTCGAACTTTATGACGTACCCAAGTTATCATATTTCACATCGGATGGTTATAAGTAATTGTAGCCTCCCGTACCAAAAGTAAATGGTCTCATTGTATACAATCCCATTATAATTTTTAATACAGAGATCATGAACATGAAAAAAATAATAATTAAAAATTAAAAATCAAAATAAATTATATAAAGAAACATTTGGACCGTTAGTTACAATTATTCATAATTATTCTTAAATAGACCCCTTATTTGTATCTATCTTTAAGATGGATGCTTTATACCTTTCGACCGCATAATGTAGAAATGTAGTCTAGCCCATATCGAATAATTTTCTTTTTGGAATCTTCAACTTACAGTCATTTACCTAACAGCTTTCCAAAAAAACAAAAAAAATCATTTACCTAACCTAGGTATTTAATATGGGTGTGGCTTCCAATTAAGACACACCTCTAAAATTTATTACAAATGTAACTTTGATACTAAAATTTTTTAAGATGGATTGAGAATTTATTTTTATATTTAATTATAAAATTTTAAACTCTAAAAATAGTCCAAATCAAGTAGATCTATAAACATATGAAAATCTTGAAAATGGACAGTCTAGATAATGTGTTACAAAATACACTATTTCGCGGATTCGAAATCGTTTTTTCTTTTTATATTCATATATCTTAATGTCAAAATGATTAATTAGAAAAATTTCCAGCATCCAAACAACTTTTTATAATGAATTTTTTATGAGCACCATTAATTCTACATTTTAAGATTGCAACCTTATATAAACTCTTTCCATTTAATATTCATGTTAGCCTCCTTATTTTTTATTTCCAAGCCAAATGAGAGACTGCTTCTGTAATTTGCTTCTTGTCTAGCCCTCCAAAACAATTTACAATGATACCATCTTACAATTACTTTGACCTTCTCTTAAGGGTCAAAATAATGCATTATCTTTCTGTATCTGTCTCTGTGGAAAATCATCTCTGAATATATGTTATAAAAAACAACATGATTCTCTTAATTTTGATTCATTGGCTACTTGAGAAATGGAATCTTTCTTCTTTACTTTGAACTAGCAAAGGGTACATACTCTGCATGTATTTTGAGTTATCGATTGTGTGATGTTCTTATTTCTATTTGTGTTCAAGAAAATATTTGATAGAAATTTTTAAGAATTATTTTTTTGAAATTGTTTTATAATTTTTTTTATTTTTGATTTAGAATGTCTTTCTGCTGTTGAACTGCCCAAAAAAATGTATATTATCATTATTCATGGATTACAAAAAAATTAAAATAGAAGAAATAAATTTTATGATTTTATTTCTGACGTGATATTATAAATACAAATATTTAAAACTAAATATTTGTTGGGTTTATGTGGCCTTTAAAGGCCTTATGAGTGATTGTAAACAGACATTTGATACAGTGGATCATGGACTTAGTGACAGTGTGGTCCCTCATAGACCATACCATGCAACAGGGTTTGCAGATACCGGACTGTGCTTGACAGTCTAGGCCAGTCAGTTGGGAAAAACTTATATTGCCTGGGCATAGATAATAAACTGAGGAGGGTTCTAGTGAGTTATCCCTTGATGAGGTCAAAGTATGCCTGGATGAGAGAGCCGAGAGACTGTGTGACCTTGTGTGTGATGGTGGTCTACGGAGACGGGGGCCAAAGCCTCATCCATGTATCATCACACAACATGGATATTGAAAAACCGTTCGAGAAAGCGAGCAAGTTACCTTTTAGGGTAAAGCGCGTGCATGCGTGAGAGATACTCCTATGCGCCATAGAGCTGTGGTCGCATCAGGTCTAGGTGACATTGACTCGTCTCTAGGGGAGAACTTGAAATCCACAGATTGGGATTGCGATCATTTGGCTCATCAGCCACACTTTGGTGACCCACTAATGAGCCCTTGCTTGGATTGTGGGTCATGAGTAACGCTGGGTCGACATGATAAAGCAAGTGTAGTCTGTAGTCCACAGTTGAAGGTGGAGTGTCCCATTATTGATTTGATTCTTTGACCATATGGATCCTTTTCCCGTCAAATTAATTTAATTATGTTTCTTTTATGATAGATATTGTTTTAGAATTATTATTTGAATTTTTATAAACTCCTGGATATTTTATTTATAATATTTAGATTTATAAAATTAAATATATTGATTTTAATGATTTACATATTCAAATAATATTCTAAAATTTATCTTATTATTTTTAATACATATAAAATTTTATAGGGCGCATTGTGCACGTGGGCCTACCATATTCTAGAAGGTGGGGTCCATAAGTCCCTATCTTAGGTAGCACGCCACCTTTTGAGGGGAGGCTTATCCCATGGGTGGCACCTAGGTATGAATTTAGGAAATGAAACACATCCAAGCAACTCTAGATGATTTCCACTTACGATCCAAAATTATGGATCTTAAAAAATAGTGCAAAACTCATGATTGGTGAACCGAATCAATTTTGGAATAAGAATGATTGTGATTTTCATGTACAAAAGTGTTCACAACAACGCCCAAGGGCGACAAGGCGGGGCACAGCTCTTCGACCGCGACGCCAAGCACCTTTGAACGGGAACAGAGTTAATCAGAGGTAGAGATTGGAGTTCCATCAAATTATGGTTTGAGAGGGAGGTAGGCCGAAGGACCGCTCTCTCTCACAAACCACCGGCAGTTACTAGCTTATGGGACAATGAAGCCAAAAGTTCGAAAACAAGAAGAAGTTTCGAAATTCGAAAGCAAAGAATGGGAGATATTTAGAAAATGGTTTTGAAATAGGGAACTAGGGCTAAACTATACTAAATATGCAAAATGAAAATCTAAAAGGTGCGGTTTATATAGAGCCTAGGCTCTAAACAATCAAATTAGAGCCTACCTTCAAATAGTGTCGAGAAATGTGGTTTTACTATTGGAAATCTTTGTGAGCCTTAAAATACATTTTTATATTTATTTATAAAGTTCAAAGCTTCAAAAATAGGGTAGATCAACATATCTATGAAAACTTGAAAATCTTGAAATAAAAATGCATTACAAAATACACTATTTCCAAAACTTGAAATCCATTTTTTTCCCATGTCCATACATCTTGATGTCGAGATGATCTATTTGAAGATATTTGGGCATCAAAACAACCTCTTCAAGTAAACTTTTGAGGTATGCTCAAATTTGATTGTTTAGAGCCTCAGCTCTATATAAAATTTTCCCAAATCTAAATAAAAGAAAAATCAATGAACTTACTTGAAACAAGGCCCACAAACCCGACACCTGGAGTTGGTGGTCTGGCTCAAATCTAAGATTGTGTGCCGACCTCTTTCGTCTCTTAGAGTTCGCCAGCTGGAATTGAACATTGTTAAGATCGAGTGGGTGCAAACATAGACTTGAATTGAGTATCAAGGATAGGGTCTAAGGAAAAGTCTAGGGTCTATGAGTGTAACCGAGAGTCTTTGATTTGATTGGCTAGGGAGTATTTTTGGCTTAAGATAAGGTTTCAGAGGTTCAAAGTAGGCTCAGGGATCTGTGAGAGGGGAAATTATTGATCTTGGACTCAGGGTTTCTAAGGATCTAGGGTTTAGTGTGTAAAATGGCAAGGCTTTGCCTAATTCCTTAAAATCTGGGGCACCTATACTGTAGGTGAAGGTCTACATTTATAGGCTAGGACCTAGATAACAGCTCTTGCAAGTAGCAACTCAATCTGGGTCGTAGATCTCTTGTGAAATACAATATTACGCATACGTAAATAGGTATTACGCAGACAAGGTGGACCCCACAATTTTGGCAGTTTCGTGCCACTTGCCTTGTTATGTCTATTGGGACGTTTTCAATTTGTAAATGAGTCGTTTTAGGTATGTTTGGGTGGTAGTAATATGTTTAAATTGAGGGTTTCAAAAGTCATAAAGGTGGGTCAAATTAAGGTTTAGGGGGGGTTATGGTTTTAATTGGGTTTGACCTAGGATTAAAGATGTGGCCCAACCATAGGTTAGTTTAGGTAAGTTTTAGATAGGTTTAGGCCATTTAGGTGGGTTTTAATGGAGCTTAGGTCTAAATTGGAAGTTTCAAGGATGCTTAAATGCTTATTTAGGGAGGTTTAAGGGGGTTTAGTGGACTAAGATGATTGAACTAATTTAATTAGGTTCTAAATGTGGGAGTTCATTAACTTCTGTGGTGCATGGGATGGGCTATGGTGTATGGAGAATAGTGGTCCTAGGGCGTACAACAATAGAATGGTCCCTAGTCTAGTTTTAGGCGAAAAGATGGGTTCTCGGTGAGGCGAATTTCAGGGTTTTGGTTAGGGGTTGGTCTAGGAATGGTTTAGGTTCAAAGTTTTCCAAGGTCTTAGCTTCCTAGAATTTCTTCAACCAAGAATGGGGTGTCCACAAAAAGATAAAGGGAAAAGTTTACATAGAGCCGAGGCCCCAAACAATCAAATATCTGTCGATCTACATTATTTTTGAAACTTTAAACTTTATAAATAAAGATGAAAATATATTTTAAGGTTCACAAAGATTTCTAGCACTGAAACCACATTTCTCGATACTATTTGAAGGTAAGCTCTAATTTGATTGTTTAGAGTCTAGACTCTATACAAACCGTACCCAATAAATGGTCTCCTTGTACAGAATAAATAAATAAATAAATAAATATATATATATATATATATTCTCTTTTTTTAAAGAAGTTTATCTTTTTTTTTTTAGGTCCTTCTAAATCGTTTCCCATAAACCCTTTTTTTTTCCATTTATTAATCCAGGTCTATACCCACGTCAAGTCACAAATCCGATACAGATGTGAGGGTAAACAATCTACCTCCCCAGTTTTAAAACACTGTTTAAAATAAACAATGACCAAAGACCTCAGAATCGAGGTAGTCCATATTTTTCAAAATTCATTTTTTTCATCAGCATTATGAACCTACGAAATTTTAGTACAAAATCCATCCCCAAGATGGAATTGAAAGGAGACTGCCATTCAGTATCGGCTTACTCACCAAAAACCCCACCGTTCTTTAATTTGATGCACTTTCATTTTCTAAAGGGTGAGGTCACCTTATACCACACAAGTAAAATGCATTCTTAAATTTTGTCAAAAGACATAACTTTGATATCAAAAACATTACCATGGCTTAGAAGTCGATGTTCAACCTTAATTATGAAATTTAAAATTAATAGAATTCAAACATATCGGTAGACATTTAAAAATCTTAAAAATCCGATTCCACCAACTTGTTACAAGATGCATAATTTGTAACATTTGAAATTCTTTTTTTTCTTCATAGACATATGCCTCAAAGTCAAGATGATCAATTAGAAGATTTTCCAACTATATACTCCTTATATTGATATTTTGGGGGAAAAAGTTTATATAGAACCTAGGCTCTAAACAATCAAATTAGAGCCTACCTCAAAACTTTCACTAGATGAGATTGTTTTGATGCCCAAATATCATTAAATTGATCATCTCGGTATCAAGTTGCATGGACATTAGAAAAAAAATGAATTTCAAATTTTGAAAATCGTGCATTTTGTAGCGCATTTTAAGACCGTCAATTTTCAAGTGGTCGGACTTATATTGTAATAGCATGAGTGACTCGCAAGCTTTAAATTTTATAACGAAAGATGAAAATATAATTTAAAGCTATCACAAAACTTTCCAAGAAACCATATTTCTCGACTCTATTTGAAGGTGGGCTCTAATTTGATTGTTTAGAATCTCGGCTCTATACAAACGGCAGCCTTTTTGAGGTGCACTTGCATTAATATTATAAAATTGCCAACCTTATAAAAACTTTTTCCTTTTGTAAATACCTTACCTTAAAGAATTGATGGGCGCGGCGCTCATCACTAATATCCTGGCGAAAAAGGATGAATCCAAGGAAACAGTGAATCCCCAAGGAAGAGGGAGACCAATTTTAGGTTTCAGAAACCCCCCAAACCTATTGGGAAGACCAATTTTAGGTTTGAGAAACCCCCCAAACTTATGGTCTCAAAGCTCAATATCAAGCTAGAGACTATAATACCTGTAACTGAGTACTTGAACCACATGCAAAGGTAGAGAAATCAAGCAACTACCTGCCACCTACCTACGGGCACCTAAGCCACTGGTATAGTACTTTCAAACAACTTCATAAGCCCAAAAGGCCATATACTGTGCATGTCCGAAACCATTTACGTATACTATGTTCATGGCATACGGTCTTGAGAACAACCTCCTTACACATGTTTTTCATATCAAGGAATAAAGGAAAGAAAGTCTCCAGAGGAAGGTGACAAGGACCATTCTATACTCACTCGTATGAATGCATTTCAATGTTTCAGCTTAGAAAAACTTCTTCTCCTTCAGGCTCTCTACTGTCTCCTTGAGGCTGACCTCTAAAGGAGTAAAGTTGACTCCCAAGGTCTGTGTTTTCTTCTTCGATACCTGAAATTTTGGAGGGAAGGGATTCTCATCTACACACCTGCCAATTAGAAACAAACCACATTATCCATTTGCTGAGATAATTAACACAAACTGGTAGTGATGCCACTAAAAGCCACTGAAACATGCGCAGCTCTGAATCAGAATTCATGAAATTATAGCATGGAATGTTTCTTGTAGGGGCTATGTTAGACTTCGCTGTAGTGTTCCAGTTTTATCTGATGCCTCCAAAGAGACAAAAGAGTAAGAGCATTAACAGCAGAACTCACAAGTATGCAGTAATTTCTAACCAAAGCTGTAACTTCCTGTGTGAAAATTTTTGTATGAGATACTAAGCAGCAGGCATTTTCTCTTTTATTGGAAACCCATTTGCATTTTCCACATGCATATACAAATGAACAAACTTCAGGGTTCATGAGTAGTTACTAAGAAAATCCACAAACGGAAACAATCTGTGGAGTGCTTTGTAGAGAGTAAAATGAATCTAATAGCAAAAGATTGGACTTATTAGGTTCTAGTGGGAGAGAGCTTACTTTTGAGGGACTGGATATTCTGGGTACAGGTCATGCAACAGCTTCACAAGCTCTGAAAAGTGCACCACTCTCTCAACCAAACAATATCTCCCACTTACTGATGGAACCTCATATGCAAGAATATGGGCCTCTGCAACATCTTTGACATTTACCCATCCAAAAGTTCCATTCGTATACGTAGGACTCCCTGCATCAGAAAACAGAAAATGAAAATGAAAACTTCTAGAGCTGCATGACAACTTAGTGTCATTTGCGACTACAGTACATTGCTTTGAACACAACATTCACTTCAAATCTACTCTTTGCACTCTTCTCCAATCCCCTAAGTAGAATATAATTCTTCTTTTCCAATCCAAAACATAACTTTCATGTTTTAGGTAGTTCAGCAGTAGGAAAAATCAGTATGTTTTATTGCAATAGTCACATATTAACCATTCAAGCACAAGCCACAATTCTAAAGGTAGGTCAGCTTGCTTAAGCTTTTTGGGACAAACTTCAAGGGTTCAAACCCTTGACCTCCCTCACCCAAACCAGGACGTCTAACACTAAGCCAAAGTCTTTAAGTATTGCTTCAAAAGGACTCTTAGATATTTATGGTTAGCTTCTACTAACCAATACAAGGACAACACATTCGATCCTTCATGAAAACTGAAAACTTTGCACTTCACTCATTTGAAAATGAAACAGAACAACAAGATTGAACATTATAGGAAGAACATACTGCCAATGGATAAGCCTCAAAGTTAGTATCAAGGACAGCTTCCTAAAGCTAATCAAAACTCATAGCTTCTCAATCGGTTTGATGGCTCTTTCTGCTAAAATACACTGTTATGTCATTACAATACCTGGCCTCACATTTATATCGGGAAGCAATAGAAAGTATCTGCTCTCCTGCGTCTTTTCTACACATTATTATTACTATTTACGACAGTCTCCTAGTACTTGAATAAAAAATTTCATGCTTTCACTCTAAAGCCCCTTGAACCTGCCTCACCACAATGCAAAATGCCTCATGCCTTTTCTTTTCATAAATAGAATGCTTCATGTTGTTCAACAAAATAATTTCACTGTCATGCAATTCCAGAAAGTGGAGAGAGAGGTATAAAATGTTAGAACATGGGCAATAAATTTTTCTATTTTAATCTTTTCTGTTCTGTTCTTTTAAAGCGCATCAAACCAAGAATCGATCAGGTAATAATCAATCCATTCTATCCCCTGGGGACTACAGTCCAATACCTGCCTCAAATTTATGCGTCAGATTACACATAGTAAAGAGAAACGCAATCTCAAGAACTTATTCCCATACTTCCTTATACAAAAGATTCACCGCTAAGGGCCAGGCTTACCATTTACAAGATCTAGAATGGCAGCACAACTTGTGTTCAACATTGGTTGAAGAAGAGGACCAATAACCATTGCTGGATTTATCGTCACCAAGTCAATCCCCTTCTCCTTGGCAAAATCCCATGCAGCCTCCTCAGCCAAGGTTTTTGATAATACATACCAGTTCTGCCAGAAGAAACGAAACATACTTCCAAAAAATAAGGTAACACACTCAGATCATTAGAAATATAATCAAGAATGCACAACATCTAAACAACCAGAAACCACATTGAAAAGATAAAATGCAACTGAAATAGAGATAACAACAAAAAAAAATTGAAGTACAACTACTTGGAAAACAACACTAGAAGGCAGCCAAGCACAACATGCACTCAAGCATGTGTGCATAGAGGTGCCTGTGCGTGTGTGTGTGTACACAGATAGATAAATGGATAGATAGATAGTGAGATACACAAAACCTCCAATTTTTTTTACTCTTGTTGTCACTTGAAAACTACGCCAGTCCCCTTTTTATGATGAATATCCTTTCTTAGTTGAAACCTTAAAAAATAGGACGAAGGAGCGTATTTCTGTAAAAACCATTCTTATAAAATTTTGGGAGCAACTGCAACAAGTGCCAGTCACCTTGTGCTGCAGTTAGAAACTGTAATGCCCCTTTCTTCTTGATGAATACCCCTAAGTCCAAAAGTTAAATAACATAAGAAGAATTTTAGTAGACATTATTCTCATAATTGTTTTGCAGAAAACCTAAAATTTTGAGAGGGGCGCCCCACCCATAGCAGTATGACCATTTGTGCTAACTGATCTTCATACAAGTCTCCTCTTTGTCATCGATTGATCTTTTTGTTCTCATCACTTCAATTGTTATGCATATGCTCTTGAATGAGCAGGAAATGACAAGTGTCCTCTTTGTCTTCGATTGATCTTTTTGTTCTCATCACTTCAATTGTTATGCATATGCTCTTGAATGAGCAGGAAATGACTAAGAAAGGGAAAGTCCTCATAATGATAATTTGAAATCATGGTAGACAAAGCTTTGAAGGTGTATCAAGTGTTATAAAAAGGGAAGTTCATGAAATAATTGTGAAATCTTTTACCGTAACTAGAGCTACCAATAGTCCTGCCATCTTTGGTATACCATACCATCCAACATTAAAGTCACATGAATGATGAAGTAGGTGTTGCTAGCTTATATGAAGTGTGGTTTTGCACTTCAAATAAGTGTAAACATATTCATTTTATGCAACAGTTGTATAGTAATATAATGAAACAATCCTAAAACACCATGTTAGGGTCATTTGTTTGACGCCAATTTTTAAATATACATGCTTTTCATTTCAATGCACAATCAACAAAAGGAAGAATTCGAAAACACACTTTATAAGGTATTTTTTAGCCCAATTAACATACGCCGTCCATTTTGGTAAGATGCTTGGATCTAGGCCTTAAAAAGCTTTTTTCTATTTCTAAATTTTTTAGATAGTTTTATTATAATTAGATGAACAAAGTAAAAGAGAAAAAGGATTTTGAGTTCATAAAAGCCTAGATCTTGAAATTCACCAAATGAATGGTTTAGATTCATTGTTGGGGGGGGCTCATTTTGACCATATCTAAGGTAAAAAAATGAATTTTATTTTTTTTGGATTGATTATTAGGATGAAGAGAGGATGTGTGCAATTTTTGGGGCTATACAAATACCACAAACGTGGTTTGCTAAAAGTGAGGTTTCATTATATTACAATAACACAGTCACATGAAATCATTTCATATATATATATATATATATATATAGTAAGGTAAGTTA